AATTAACTTATTAAGAAGAGGTCCAAAAAGAAGTCACAAGAGATTTTAGAACAGATTTTTGAAATAAATAAAAGTGAACTCACTGTATATCAACATTTATGAAATGCAACTAATGCAGATTCTTAAAAAGAAATTCTTGCCTATTCTAGAAAAGAAGGTATTAAGGAAATAATCAAACCTTCCACCTAATGAAAACAGAAATAGGTTAATTTTAAATCAAGCAAGAGAAAGAAAGCAGTTACATCAAAATTGGACCACAAAAAATCAAGAGCAGGGCTTCCCCTGGTGGCGCAGCGGTTGAGCGCTGGGCTACGAAGCTGCCCGCAGCCTCTGCAGCACCAGTTCGATCCCCGGCTGCTGGCGAGGGTCCCGCATGGCGCGACAGACCTCTCCTGCCGCCCTGCTGCTCCCCTCAGCAGTGTATTTCATCAGTCTGCCTGCTCTGTTCCCCTCTCTGTCTCTGGTGAATTCTCTCACCCTCCCGTGCTTCTGACTGTACCCAGTGCTTGTATAAATAAATAAATAAATCTTTAAAAAAAAAAAATCAAGAGCAAAAAGTGACTTTTAAAAAAGATAAAATTGATTTTAAAAGAGAGATAGTGTACAAATTAATAAAATAGAAAATGAGAGATGCCATCATTATTGCTGCTATAAAATTAAAATAATTATAAGAGAATATCATAAACAACATGCCACTAAGTTTGACAACTAAAATGAAATGGACAAATTCCTCAGAGGACACAAATTATCAAACTTAATTAAAAACCAAAGAGAAAACAGAAGAGATCTAAAACCAGGAAAGAAATTGAATTAGATTTTAAAACTAAAAATGGACTGTTTTATACTGAAACAGATAGATACACATGAATAGAAAACTAATTATGCAATGGGTGGAAGAGATTTCAAGGACGTAAAAAAACTCAAAGGTGAAACTTCTGAAGATTTAGAAATCAAAATTCAAGCTAAGAAACTAATATAATAGTCTAGAACCAATAAAATTCCTAGGATCCTAACAGAGGCAAAAAAGCAGGATAAGCCTACTGACTTGCATAGAAAATAATAGCAGAAAATGATGAGATCACCATAAAATGTAGAAATTATAGTAAAACAACACAAAGATCATGGAGAGGCATAAGAAGCAAGGTGTGATTGATAGATCAGTTGTTGACTATCCACTCCCTTGGGACAGAGATATTTTCTTGTCACATAAATTCTTGGTTTAGATATATTATTATGGCCAGAGGCTATGAGTACAAGTGAGAACATGCCAGTTTCAAGCTAACAGCTTGAGGGACATCCTATGTTTCTACTCACTCTTGTACTTTTGTCATTTGTCATGTGAAAGCCATGTCTCTAGGAGCTACCAGCCAAAGAGAATGAGAAACACATGAAGCAGACCTGAATCCAAAGTCTTGAGCCAAGTCCATTGGATATATTGTGTGTATATGATCCTCCCTAGTTAACCCACATACTTAATGAGTGGAATAATAAAAATTTTAGTGTTGTAAGTCATTGAGCTGCAAGGGGATATTTTACAAAGGATTGTAGTACTAACTGATTTATTCACATAACAAATAATGTTATTGACAAAAAATAGAAGATTCAATGTTTTATTAATTACTAAGGTCTTCCTCCATAGTAGAGGCACTCTATGAGTATTTCTGAGACACCATTACCTTCATATTGTATCCTCTCTGAAAGGTCAATCCCCAAAACATTCTAACAGATTTACTGAACACTCTGACATCCCTTTTGCCATTTCCATGTGAACTTCATAGCATTTCTTCTTCAAGGTGACTTGTCTTCAAGAGATTTTATTTTTTTCTTTTAAGATTTATTTATTTATTTATACGAGCACTGGATACAGTCAGAAGCATGGGAGGGTGAGAGTATTCACTAGAGCCAGAGTGGGGAACAGAACAGGCAGACTGACAAAATACACTGCTGAGGGGAGCAGCGGGCGGCAGGAGAGGTCTGCATGCCATGTGGGACCCTCGCTGGTGGCCGGGGATCTAACCAGTGCTGCAGAGGCTGCAGGCAGCTTCGCAGCCCAGGGCTCACTCTCTGCGCCACCAGGGGAGGCCCGTCTTCAAGAGATTTTGATATAGCACTTCCCAATATCATGTCAATAAACCATTAAAATCATTTATTTTACTTTTCTCTCCCATTAGATGGCCAGGGGGAAGTACACATGGAACCATAAATTCAGGTTGGGGGAAAATAGGGAATGTATAGAAACAAGTAATGGAAGCAGCAGGGACATCTGAGTCATTAGCTTATTTGTATTACTAAGAAGAAAATAGGTGCTCTTATTTTATAAGAAAACATTGCTGTACACATCCAGTTTTATAAATTATAAGTTCACAGAGCACCCATTTCATGATGAAAAACTTATTTCCATTTATCTTTTTAATAGGAAAAAGAAAAGGTATTTTTTAAGATTATTGACTGTCTATCAGGTGCCATGTGTTGTCATTTTGATGAGAGGTATGTAGTGACCAAGAAGAGGGAGGTAGCAAGGGTGGAAATACTCCAGCCATACTCTTCTCTATTATTTCCCATGGTCTCTTGCCACTGATTATTATTGGCTGAACCAAACAGGAAGACAGATAGCAGAAGATATCTTTGATATAGTCTTTTATGAATCATTTTCATGATCCACAAAAGGAAAGATACAAGTGGGGGGTGGGGTGCTTAGGGATGGATGGATCTGGACACATAAACCTCAAGATATCTAGAAAAAAACATGAATTTAATTTTATAAAAATTTTTCTCAACTACATACATCATACTTAATGTCAAAACTGTGGAGAGTAGAACTTTTTCCTGTCATATAGGTGAAAGACTGAGACTAAAAACCACAAAATATGTAATTATATAATTTGTAAGAAAAGTCATAAAAATTTATACATTATACATTACATATGTCATCATAAAATAAACATATTCCTAAAAGCACATTACTATTTAGGAATCTGTTACAAGCAGAAGGTATTAAATTCACGGTAGTAATGAAATTAAACTTCATTGCATGTGTTGGCTACTTAAAACAAGGCAGATGAACGTAAGTGTCAGTTTCTTAAACATATCTTTAATAGCATGGAATAAAAGGCAACCAAAACAATAAATTAATCACCAATGGCGAGGATGTATTCCATCATTAAAAATACATTCATTACAATGAGCATTTATGCATCTCAATTAAATTTTATTCTGGTAATTTCTTTTTTTTTTTAAGATTTATTTGTTTATTTATTTATACAAGCACTGGGTATAGTCAGAGGCGTGGGAGGGTGAGAGAATTCACCAGAGCCAGAGCAGGGAGCAGGTCAGGTAGAAGGACCGAAGCACACTGCTGAGGGGAGCAGCAGGCGGCAGGGGAGGTCTGCACGCCATGCAGGACCCTCCTCTGGTGGCCGGGGAGCATCCAGGGATCGAACCAGCGCTGCAGAGGCTGTGGGCAGCTTCGCAACCCAGCACTCAACCGCTGTGCCACCGGGGAGGCCCCTGGTAATTTCTTAAACAGAACAGGGTAGGATGTCTATTCCTACCCTGTTGTAACCTTGGGTACCTCTAAATCGCTAATATTAATGTGTTCGTGTCTGTATTTATAAATTTTATACTTATGATAGTAGTAGTATACGCATAAGCTAAATACTATTCAGAAACAGAACTGCAAGATAAAATTTTTAAATATAAATAAAAGTTCTAATCTTTTTATAATTTGAAAAAAAATTTGATTTTTTTGAAGGATTTTTCTTGCAATTCCTTGGAATGTGTACAACCATGTTGGAGTTTGTGTTTTTTGAAGACATAGCATAGATCTATGTGTGGATTCAGTTGGACACATAATTTGAATGTTACTGTTTTTCTCTGAAAGGTATCTTGTCTTAATGGGCAGGATATATGGGAACCCTAAGAGAACCCATTTCTAAAGCATGTGCATCTTGAATTAAAATTTTTACCCTGATAGTGTGAAAAATTTCCAGGTGTAGGCAGAATCAGGAAGTAAGGCATGTTTGGTAGGCACAGATTTAGGAGAATTAAAAATTCCCACACCTAGGGCCTCCCCGGTGGTGCAGCGGTTGAACGCTGGGTTGCGAAGCTGCCCGCGGCCTCTGCAGCGCCGGATCGATCCCCAGCTGCTCCCCGGCCACCAGAAGAGGGTCCCACATGGCGCGCAGACCTCTCCTGCCGCCCGCTGCTCCCCTCAGCAGTGTACTTCGGCCCTTCTGCCTGCTCTGCTCCCCACTCTGGCTCTGGTGAATTCTCTCACCCTCCTGCACTTCTGACTGTACCCAGTGCATGTATAAACAAACAAACAAACAAACAAACAAATAAATAAATAAATAATACATGCCTCTTAAAGAAAAAAAAAATCCCCACACCTTTAGACTGTTTAATACTTAACCACAGGTCCCTCACCCTAGTCTAAACAAGAGCATATCCTTTTTAAGCATTTGTTAACTACTTGAATCTTGGAAACATCTTAAGTTTCTCTGCCTACAAGAAGTACCCAAAGCAAATTTACTACAAAATTCCCATAAGCAGATGCGTTTAGTTTCTAAAATATCACTTAGAACTCTTGTTTTTCTAAATTTAAACATGTGGCTAATGATACCAACTGGCAGTCACTTTAAATTTCTAAAAACAAATACTGGAGTCATAGGAAAAACTTGCCAAATGTTTGCATGCCCTTGGGTACTATAAATCCCAAGGAATTTCTAACACCAATGTAGTCCCAGTTTATATCTCTGAACTTGGCATGATCATTAAAAGCATCTTTCAAAGTACACTGATTTGAATGCAAACTGTCACTCTGCCTCACTCTCAAGATACCTGATTTTTTTATTCAAACCTTCAACTGATTATCCATACCTCTCTAACAAAGTAAATAACAATATGAAAATTTCTTATTATTACCTCTCTGCACAGCTAATGGGATTTCTTGGAGTCTCCAGATTGACCAGGAATCAATTTTCATATTAATCAATTCCTTTCTTGATTTTTGTTGTCTTAAAGCTTCTTCAGCTTCTGCACGGTCAGTTTCTAGACTCTTAATGAGATGAATGGCCTCTGACAGCAATGTTTCCATTTCCTGCTTTAATTCTGGACACTTTTCATCTAAAATAAGAATATATATTCACATTTGCCCATGAATCAGGTGATAAGATCATGGGTATTAATTGTATCACTATTCATTTTTAAATATTTATATTTGTTTTAGAAAAATGAATTAGCTTTTAAAAGGTAGTTTTATTATAATATAATCATAACACTGAATATAACCAGCAAAGAGACTTTAAATGAATATTGTGTAAGATAATTAAAATAGCTAAATATCAACCAATATCCTTTTCATAAGCTGTATTATACTGCTTTACTTTTAAATTATATTTATATTTCCTTGTACTGTATGAGAAAATCAGATCATAATCATTATATCAGATAAATACTGAAAATGTGCATAGTTTCTAGGAAAAAAGACATTAAATTTTTATCTTATCAAATAATAACATTCCTGGCTAGCCTTGCCAGAAATTCATTCATTTCTAAATTCTATTGATTCATTTATAAAACGAAGTCCTTTAATGAGAATTATCTATGACTCCAAATTGACAGTTCTATAATGGTATGGTTTAATGCTAACAAAATGATTTACACAGGTATTCATTCAGCTATTTATGGAAGATAAGGGTAGAAAGTCATTTATGTTCCAAGCAATGTTCTCTTCTTGGAGACAGATCAGTAAGGCAGATATGGGTGCTATTCTGGTGGGATTTATACTAGTAAACAGTGACTTTTACCAGAATGTGACATGACAAGAAGACATAAATAAACACAAAGTGTCAAAAAAGGAAGTCCCCAAAGAACAAAGGCTGGAGGAAAAAAATTAAAACTGGCTCATGAAAAAAGACAACTAATACACTAGACCTTTGTTTTGTTCGGTTTCATTCTTTCTTTCTTTGACAATAATTTTCTCATAGGAGGAAGTATAACACAATGGTGATAACTGACAGGTCAACAGCGACTGTTTCCACTACTAATTTTGTGGAACTGTCGAAGAATTTCAGCACGATAGCTGGCGATACCTGCATAGTGCTGTTTTTAAACCCTGAGCAACCAAGAGGCCCAAGTGTTAAGTTTTACAGTCAAATATATATGTTTTTAATTAACATAATTATAGTTAATTCAGCTGTTATTTTGACCATATATATTTTTGTGACCATTAATATCTCAGTCTTTTCTCCCAGCGTATATCATGTGAAAAATAAGGAAGTAATGAATGAGGTTTTCATTCATTGCAGACATAATAAGTGAAAAGGAAAACAGTAGAAGTATCACCTAACTATAAAAGACGTTATTGACTAGAAAAAAATCCTTCTTTTAACGTTCCTGACTTTATTAGTCATCCTTCACTAAAGGAAGATGTTTAAAACACTATTTGTGAAAACTATTTGTAAAAAGGAAGAGGTGTTTAAATTCAAAAATATAGTCAAATATGTTGAGAAAATTTTAATTTTATACCAGCATATAAATTATTTCACACATACGTACTTATATGTGTATATATATATATAAAGATTAATATTCTTATAATAATATATATGATGTATGTGTGTATGTATAATACACACACATATATACATACACATATATGTGAATGGGGGGAGAAAAAGGGTGGAAGAGAAGGACTGAGAAATGTAATGTTCAATTTGGTAGCCATGAAAGACAATATTGTATTTAAATGTAAATTTAAAGTTAAACTTAAAAGTTAAATTCCTCACTCTCACTATCAAATGTCACATGCTCAACAGCTAGCTGTGGCTAGCAGATACTGCATTCAATAGTGTGATATACAACATCTAAAGTTCAACTGAACAGCCCTAAATTATAGTTAACTTCTTGAGGTAGACAGGAATCACTGCATACTCAGGAAAAAAGATAGTATATGATATAAAATTTATAAATTTGATTACTGTGAAAATTAGAAGTAAACTAATGAAAGTAAATGAGCTTTTAGATATAATTATACTTATCGAAATATAAGGTACAGATTTACCTCTTTCTTCTGGTTTTACCTCTTCCACTGGTGTAAGACTCCAACCTTCTTTCAGGTCTTTGGTGGAAGAAATTCTGCTCCTATATAATAGGAAAGAAGCAACTAATTAATATAGGAGTGTTACACTTAAATTTAGTGAAATTTTAGGTGATACTCTTACACTGAATTCACATTGTGCATGCTGATTCTACTATATGGGAGATTTATATAGAAAAATTTAATAGATAATGGGCTCACAACTTCACAGTAAATTAATGAAAATGTCAAATTGATAACAAATGACCAGAAAATTTGTGAGGTAATATTAAAGAAGCAATTTTGGTTAATGAAACTGGTATTTCCAAGAGTGTTGCTATCAGAAAAAGGGAGTTCTTATTGGGAAAAATTTGGGTGAGTTATTTCTCTAATTTCAGTTTACCAGGTTTAGAGAACCAATATAATTTACAAGCAAAAATACCATTTCAGATTTGAAGTTAATAAGGTTTTATTAACTTGTCCAAATTGGAAATCAAAATGTCCAAATCATTGTTATATATTTTTATAGTTCTCTTTCAGTTAAAAATTCTATGTGTTGAATAATGAAATATTTGGCAGTATTTCTCTGATCAGTTCTTGACTCCTAAACTAGTTCTCATTGTATTAAAACTTTTTTTTCTAATAGAAGTTATAAGAAAATCACTATCAACAACATAGCCAAGAGTCTCATTTTATTTCATTACTAAATTATTTTTCATTATTAATGAAGTATTACTAATTACAAAATGTCATATATATAACAGACACCTAAAGTCCCTGATGGCTAAAGTCCTTCTATCAATAATAGCAGATAGAATCAGTATAGCTACTTCTTATCTTGAATAATCTCTATTACCCCCTTCTTCAGTTTCACTGATTCTTTCCTCTGCTTGCTCAAATCTGTTGGTAAATATGTCTAGTTTTTCACCTTATTTATTGTACTTGTTAATCTCCAAAATGTTATTTTGTTCTTCAATCATTTTACAATATTCCACATTTGTTGAGCTATTCGTACCCTTGGTTTTGCTTAGTTCTGAGTCTATGGTTTTCTTGATCTTTTTGAGAATATTTAAGACAGTTGGTTAAATGTCCAATGCTGGGTTTCTTCAGAGCTCATTTCCACTATTTTTTTCTTCTCTTCCCTTGTTACTGGAACATTTTTTTTTTCTTTGCCTGCCTCAATTTTTTTTTTATAAAACTAAACATTTATAATATTTTAATGTAAAATGGAAATTAGATTACACTCCTGTATTGGGTGTGTTGTTCCGTGTTGTGGTTCATTGCAATTTGATTGTTTAGTTATTCTTCTGGGCACTTTTCATATCTATATTTTGTTACCCTTACTTGTAACCCTTGAAGTAAGTATTTCACTAGCTTACTGATCAACCTGTGTTTTTTGGAAACTATCTTAAATGCCTAGAGGAAAAAAAAAACAGAAAAGGAAAAAAAATATTACCCCAATTTTAGCAAATTGGCTCGATGTTGGAGTACTTCTTTAATGCTTATCCAACATTATTTATAACTGCCTCTACCTTAAACTCCTGCCTATGCAGATTTTAAAGGTCAGTCAGAGGTAAAAGATGAAGGTCTTCTCAGGTCCTTTCTGAGCATCCATCTTGCACTGGTCCTAAGTTTCAACATGTGATTTGAACATGTGAATCTCCAGCATTTATAAGGACTTTGAAAACCCTATTCCTTCAGGTGTCTGCTTTGCTAATTTCTTCTATCCCAGATATTATGAACTTTTCAGTGCTTTTCCCAATTTTTATCCATAACCTTAGTCAATACTGGCAAGAATATGCCTTCAAATACTTTCCACAAGCATTGGAAAAAGCATGACTCTGTGATTGCTCTAAACCTGGCAAAGACAAGCACAACTGTGGATCCAATAAGGAGTCACCGGATAGATCAAAACACTGAAACATGATTCTTTGCGAATAAGATCTGCATTGTCCCCTCTGGTGTTAGCAATCTATACCGTAAGTGCTTTCTTCATTGCCACCACAAATCTGGAGGATGACAAATGGGCAATTGAAATGTCACAGTACTAGCTCAATGTGATCCAGCAATCTCTTTGTTCATTAAATTTTCTCCTGGTTGCTGTATTTTTTTTTTTAACTAGATTCCATATTTCTGCAAAAGTTGAATCTGATCCTTTTTTGGCAACTATTATAATTATATTTGAGGTGAAAGGAGCACTTGATATTTTTCCTACTCTGCCATTTTCAGTAATAGCCCCATATGAAAATTTCTGTTTTTGTTTCCCCTTTCTTTTAGAAATGAAGTTTATCTACAGCAGATTAGTCATCAAAATTTTAACATAAAGAAATAAAGGGAGCAGAAAAGGTTCTTACCATTCTTCCAAAGTAGTTTCAAACTGTCAAAGTAAAAGATCTCAATAAAAATCAAATTTTAAATACTTTAAAAGTAATAGTAAACTTAACTTAATCTTGAACTCACTGATAAAATTGTGAACATTCTAATTCACATACTGCATTATACGTCTATCAAATAATATTCTCTGCTGTTTCTAAACAAGTATATATTTCTACTGCCTATTCTATCAATTTATTATTATTCCCACCTAATTATTCCCAACTTTCACCTGTGTTTCTAAATCTTACCCCCTCCTGAAGGATCAGTTCAAATGCTATAAACTCAGGATCAGTTCAAATGCTATAAAGGGATCAGTTCAAATGCTAAAAAAAAAGATTTTACAGACAATCAGAAGCACTTGTTATCCAATGAATTTTAATATGTCTTCCAAAACTGGTAAATACATAATTACATGATTGTTCACAAATATTTAATTTCCTATAGTATAGTTCCTCCTTGGAATTATAAACTCCTTGTATTCATGACTACAGGTATGTTCTAATAGCAGCTTAGATTATAAAAGTCAGAAATTACAAAAAAATTACTGTCAGAATGTTATGGTTTTTATGAATTCCAATTCAAGATGTCAGATTAGTATACATGATTACCTCTCTTCAATTCCTATATCATAAAAAATTTTCATCAGAAAAAATGTATGTATCAATAAAACACTGAAATATATGTTTTTCTTATTACTATTTTATTTTTAAAATTGAAGTATAGTTGCATTACAGCATTATATAAGTTTCAGGTATGCATCATTAAAAATCAGCATGTAAATGTGCCTCATTAAGTTCACCACTTAAAGTCCAATGCTTCACTATACAGTTAGGCTCTTTTACCCAATTTACCCATCCTTTTCCTCTCTTCCCTTCTAGTAGCCTATATAACAGGAGAAAATGTTTGCATGTCATATGAATGACTTTTGATACATGGATTTAAACCCAACTTATTATGGCAATATTAATGAAATAAATTCTACCCCTTACTCCCTACCCCCAATTCATAGGTTGAAACTCTAATCTCCAATGTGCCTTTTCAAGAGCTAAATATTCTTTTTTTAATTTATTTCTTAAATCATTGCTTATGTTTGTACAATATTTGACTCCCCCCCTCCAGGGGTGTATTCCCTGTAGTTCTACCTCCACCATAGCACCTGTGAACTATCACTTTAGTCCCTTGTGCTCTTCTCTTCCCTGCTTTGACCCGTCTCCCTGCCCCTCTGCTGCTGTATGCCCCAGACCTATGGTCAGCTTGGAAGTTTTGTCTTTTTTCTGACTCTTTGTTCATTAAATGAGGTTATAGAGGTGGGGTTTTAGTCCATTCAGACTGGTGTTCTTATCAGAAGAGCCACCAGAGTTCACTCTGTCTCTATGTGGGCACAGAGGAAGGAATGTGAGAACACAGTGGGAAGGCAGTGGTCCCCAGGCCAGGAAGGGGATCCTCAACATTATCCAACCTTGAAGATACTTTGATTTTGGACTTCTAAGCTTCCAGAACTTTGAGAAAAATAAATTTCCGTTGTTAACTAATCCACTATGTAATATTATGGATGTCCATGAAAACTAACGCAGGAAAATGTTTATAGCTATTGGGGTAATATTTCTTGTGGAAATGAAAGTACTTCTCAGAGCCAAGAGCTCAGAGAATAGAGCAAAGAAACAGGAACAACAAAATAGGAAAGTATTCCCAGGGAGCACAACTGAACCCTCATCAAGAAACATGCCTTGCTCCCAGCTTTAACAGACCTTGCAACATGGGCCCTCATAAATTTCACAATTTATACATCAGTGAAAGGTGTGTGCCTTTGCCATGCTTTCCCTTTTCAAGTGAGAGTGTCTGTCTATTGTGATTATTCTGCTCCAGCCTCATCATCCTATGCTAAATATTCAGAAGCAGACTATAACTTGTCATTTTAATTCTCACATCTTTGGATCAAAAAAAGCTGCACCAAAGAATGTCAGTCATTTTGATCAGAAATGTGGCAGAATGTGTTATCGAGGACCTCTGCACAATACCATGCAGTAATAAGACTTTTTTTGAGGAGGTGAATAGTTTGCAGTGGGAAGTGTTGTTAATGATGTTGCCAATAGACTAACTGATAGACTGTCATTAAACCATCCCCCAAAAATCATGTTTCCTGGCATCCACATCTTATCTAATATGCTACCATATTAACAGTGGGATTGTCTGTGTGATTTGCTTTGTGGGACTTTGGCAAATATGACACAAGCAAGCTTTGTTAAGCATTTGCACACTGAGGTATGTCCTCGTAGAATACTCTCTAAGCCACTAGATATTTGAGTGAGTCCCTCTTCATTATTATTCCCAGTAGAGTTAGCAGATGTTTGTATCTACATGATTGGTCCAGGCAAGAACCAGCAAAATTGTCCTGCTGAGTTGAGAACAGATTGCTCAATGGTAACCAAATAAATGCTTTATCTAGTCACAAAAGGTTAGAAACTGTGTATATGTAAGTGTATGGCATGTAAAAGAAAAAAAAAAAGTCTTTTCATTCTAATAATGGTGACAATATGCAGATTACAAAGAATGAACAGGGGAGTAAGGAATTAAATAATAAATTTAGACAACCCCTTTTCAAATGCTAAGAAGGAATAGGGGGAAAAGGAGATATACTTAAAAGAATGGATGGTATAACAATTTTCTTGAAAACAGGGGCAAGATCAAGATTTTAAGTTGATGAGAGTTTTAAAAGAAGAGGGAAGGTAGCACAATGGACTATGGATAATTTGGTGGCAGGTGAACTACAGGAGCAATATCTGAGAGGGGAATCTTGTGTTTCCAAAATTCCAACAATAATGTAAGCCAGTGTTACCTCAATTAAAAAAATTAAGAACCAAAAATCAGACAGAAACCAAATATTTTGTTAATTCCCTAAATAATCTAAGTTACAAAAAATAGACCAAATAAAGCAATACAAACAAAAAACCAAAAATTAAAAAAAAGAAATTTAGATCTGGAATATAAACCTATCTCTAGTCTAAACAGGAGAATAAAGTGGAAGAAAAATTAAATAAAATCTTTTATTTATATGGGAGATTATGCAAGTGATTATTTCCATCATTTTGCAATGTTTTCTCATTCTTTAAAGAAATATAGAGAAAATATTCACAGTAAATCTACTGTGAATTTTCTTTCCAATATTCAGAACTACAATTTAAGTGACTGGATATGCGTATGGCAAGATGCATTCTGCCAATCATGAGCTCTACAGTTTTCATTCTGACTGCAATGAAAATCACTCTGGTATGATGGGCAAGCAAACTGTAAGAGTAATGACAAAAAAAAAAAAAAAAAAACACACCGATCTTTCACTCATCTAATGTATCCCATGGGCCTCCCCAGTGGCTAAGGGATTAACTCTCAGCACTATGAAGCTATGCAGCATGAGTTTGATCCCCAGCCAGGCACCTAACCTACACGGAACAGCATGAACTCTCCTGTCTTGCCCCCTGCTCCCCTCAGCAGTGTCTTTCAGTAGATCTGCCTGTTCTGCTCCCACTCTGTCGCTAGTGAATTCTCTCTCACACACACCCCACATCTCTGACCTATACCCCAGGTCTTGTATGCAATAAATAATCTTTAAAAAATATAATGTAGGGCCTCCCTGGTGGCGCAAGGGGTTAAACACCACACTATGAAGTGATCCGCAGCCTCTGCAGCACGAGTTCGATCCCGATCCCCGGACAGCCAGAGAGCAACCCACATGGCGAAGCAGATCTCTCCTGTCTTGCCCGCTGCTCCCCTCAGCAGTGTATTTCAGTGAGTCTGCCTGTTCCCCACTCTGTGTATGGTGAATCCTCTCACCCCCGGCATCTCTTCCCTGTACCCCAGCTCTTATATGCATAAATAAATAAATCTTTAAAAAAGTTAACCATTTTAAATATATATATAATGTATCCCATATCCAAAATAGATAACTTTATAATTACTTATCAAGCTTTATCTAATAAAAGATTAAGGTTATCCTCATTAAAAATAAACATCAACCCAAACTAGAAAATCCAGCTTCATCAGCAGTAGCCCCCAGCTCAAGGAAAGCATGGGTTCTGCTTTCTGCCAATGGCTGTTCTGGACATTTCACATAAGTGGGATCATGTAATATGTGGTCTTTGTTATTTTGGTAATAGTAACGTAACTCTGTAAGTACAATAAAAACCTTTGAATTGCACACTCTAAATAGCAAACTTTATGACATGTAAATTATCTCAACTAAGCTGTTTTCAAGTTAGTTTTTAGAGAGACATTGTTGACAATTTAGACAAAAATTTAGACAACTCTTTCTCTGTGTCCTTGACTCCACCTCAATCCTAACTGCACTATACACAGTCCCCAAAGAAGAAAAAAAAACCTTTCATTGGGGGGGATATATCACTGTGGATTGAGCAAAGTCAAAGTCAAGAACATTATTTCACCTTAACAATACTTTTTAGATTGGGGGACCTCAGCAGGAGAGATTTAAACCAACACCCTCATCTCTTTTGCTGGCTGCTGGACACTGTAGGAACCAAATTGTCCTCATTATTTCACCAGCTTTTTCCATAAATTAGAATAATAAAACATACGATTTGGGGAATTTAGAGATAATTAATCTAGTTGTCTGTTTTGTCTCCTAGTCTCCAAATTCAGTGGAATCAGATAATGCTATTACGTAGTAAAATAAGCCTACTATAATACAAATAGTGTAGAATTACCAATAACTCACGTATATTGAGTGCACATGATACACAGGCACTTGTCTTTTTTTTTTAAATGCATCCAAGAGCTGGGGTGTAGGCCAGACATGGGGGCGGGGGAGGCGGGGTGAGAGGAATCACCAGAGACAGACTAGGGAGCAGAACAGGTGGATCAGCTGAGGGGAGCAGGGGGTGAGACAGGAGAGGCCTGCTGCGCCATGTGGGTAGCTCCCTAGCCGGGGATAGAATTTGTGCTACAGTGGCTGTCAATAGCTTCATAGTGCAGCGACTTAAGCCCAGGTACCACCAGAGAGGCCATGCGGGCATTTGTCTTATAGGACTTCTCCAACCCCATTTCCACCTAAGGTAACAGAAAGTAGCTTTAAAGGCTGCCATCTGTACAACTGCACTTTAATGGCTCCCGAAGGAGACAACACCCTAGACTCAGCATCATGAGTTGCCCATTAGCATGCTATCAGAGCACCTTCAGCAACAGTGGTGAAGGATAAAGTAGGAGAGGTCCCCAGTAACTCATGGGGTAGTCTAAATATATTCTGAAATATATAATGTAATAAAAGATTACATTATATGAGATTTTCAATCACACCTAACTCATCCTTTGAAAATAATTTAAAATCATAGTGATTTTAAGATTACATTTCCTCCAGAATAATAAAGGATTAAGAAAAAGGAAAAATCATTATATTGTCTTTCAAAAGACAGTATTTATTTAGAACAAATAACTCATTTAAAAAGGGCATGCTGTCCTTTTGTACACAAATTTACTCATCTAATCATCTAATCAGTTTAGTGTCCCCAAAAAAGATGTAAATATTATTTAAATTACTAGTCAAGTTGGCTTATGGAAATTACTACTTAGCATGATTGCCTCTGGGTAAAGAACAAACAGGGGGAAAAATCTATTTAATAAGGTCATTTCATCCTTCTGAAGTGAAACTATCAAAAATATGTATAGATAAGCAAATTATGCAACTAAGCAAAGATTCTATAAATATTCCAAGTATCATTAAAAAAAAATTACCTGGGTTCTTTAAGTAACAGTTATAGGTTCTATATAAAATGCTACAAAAATGTTAATATTTTTAATGTCACTTACCCTTTTCAAATGTTCCTGTATTTTAGACTCTACATCTTGAATGTGTGAAATCATTTTGTTGACACATGGTGCTGGGATGTTTACTAATGAACAGCTGTGACGTCGACATGGATAGCTAAAGTAAATGTCTTTATTCACCACTAAAACAAAACACAAAGGGTGCAAAATACTGAGTGCTAAAACTTGATTTCAGAATATGAAAAACACATTTTTCATTAATACTAATACTCAAACTTTCTTTGGTAAACAGATTGATAAATCAGAAAATTATAAAATGAAGGTTCAAACAAACTAAAATGAAATGACTTAATATAACAAAAATGAAGTTAAGAAGCAAGAAAAAACTTCAAGCATAGCTAAAATATCTATCGTTGTGAACAAAACTGTGAAAAAAAATTTTGAAAGGCAGAGAACAAGTTAATCCACTTGTTTCTAAATAGAACCTGAATCACTTGAAAATGATTTTGAAATATATTTTAAATTCTCCCTTCAAAGAGAACCCACAGCTTCCAGTGCAAATAATGTACAAGCACTCACACAATGAAGAAGTTCTTCCCTATGTCCAGCCTGAGTTTCTCTTGCTGAAAAAAATAAAAGCAGGTCCCCTTCATCCTCATAATAACCTCATTTTCTACCTTCCATTTCTGAAAATTGGAGTCTCATGCGAGAAGTGATTGATGTTCTCACTATAGCATTCAAGTTGTACTCATCATAAAATCCACTCAGTCCGATGTGCCTCAGTGATTCCAATCCTGGCATATCCCAAATAGACTGAAGGTTACAGAAGCACAGCAAAGTTGTCCATGAAACTCCACCAAAGTGCTTACTTGCAGACCTTTTGCTTCTGAGAACTCTAGTGGGCTGGATTATAGTTGCAGTCACTGATCTTAAATGCAAGACACAAAACAGGCTCAGCCCCTCAATGAGAACAGTGTGATGAACTCATTTCAGTTGACCTTGAAGAACACAGAAGTAATGATGTTGCCTCCAGAGGATGCCTTTTGTTTCAGCATCAACCCACCGAGATGCCAAATACTTTAGAGAGCTTCCTTTAAACTTCAGTATTTTAAACATCATTTAAATTAAATCTCATCATATCCTCCTCCTAAAACACAATCTCTGTGAAAATGGCATATTTCATTTATAAATGAAAGTGTGTTTACTCTACCCCATATATAAAAATATGTAATATATATGAATACATGTACTTTGTATATGTGTATATATACATGGATGTATGTTTATTTTATATTTATATATATCTACACATATATATTTGCTCTGATTAACATTTTTATGAAATGTGCCAAGCATGGGATTATTCTAAATACTTTTGATGCCACATTTTATTTAAACTTCAAAATCTTATGAAGTGAGATTATTATACTGATCACATAATTGAGGAAAACCAAGGCATGGAGATGTTACATAATTTATCCAAGTCCAAAGAGCTGGCAGGATCAGAACTGGGACTACCACTGTATCTCCCCAGCTAAGAAGAGTAGAACCGATATAGTGAATGTTGTTTTATCTTTTTTAAATGTGGTAAAATAAAGAGAAACAGTTCTGAAAGTATATTTTGGAGAATATCCAATGTTTCACATATCACTTTGTTTTTAAATTTCAAATGTTCTTTCATGCCATCAGTACGAACACTCTCCTATGTTAGTGGCCTTTGACCATCTTCTGAGTGCGTATGAAGGCTTTCACTCTTTTATGTGTGTTATATTCCATCTTTCTTCTCTGTATACATATATGTATTTTCATCACTGCAATAGTCAAAGTAATAAAGAACAAGTTCGTTGAAATTACATATCAATCTCCTATCCAAATATCTTGATAAGCACATGTTGCTCTTCCCTCCAGAAATAAGGTTTTAATACACATTTAACAACCACAGTTTTCCTTATACTCAAAAATTTGTTTTGCTTCATTTACAGTGGGGAAAAGAAAGATAGTAATGACTCATTTAACAGTTTTCTGCATGTGCCACTCTACACTTAGTAAGTGAATACTAATTAATTTTCACAGCACCCCTATGGTTTAGGATTAACATTTTACATATGGTAAGAAAATACAATGAAGTCCAAATTTTCATGCAAAATATGTAAAAGTCATGGCATCATATGCAGTTCAAGGTAGAACCAGAATCGCATATTATAGTTTTGCTAATGTATGTGTGGTATTTACCCATTGTGAAGAGACACCCAGATCACTGAACTAGGTGTCCAAGTGCACTGAATTTTTGACTTGACTGAAAACTATCTGAGCTTCCACTGAAAACTATCTGAGCTTCATAAGCTAAAACTACTCTGTCTCTAACCTCAGATTTCTCATACAATATATGAAATGTATAGTTAGGGAGTAATGTAAGATCCTTTAAACTAAAACCTCAAGATACAGTGAACTAATGTTTAGTCATATATATGCTAATAAACCGCCTTCTCATGAATCCTGTGCACAAATAATCAGGAAGAGTATTTATGGAATTAAGCTCAGAAAGACTCTCATCCTCTTCAAACATCTAAACAAATGCCAGTACTGGGCCTCCCTTGTGGTGCAAGGGGTTAAGCACAGCACTGTGAAGCTATCCACAGCCTTTGCAGCACAAGTTCGATCCCCAACCAGGGAGCCACCCACAGGGTGGCGCAGTAGACCTCTCCTGTCTTGCCCGCTACTCCTCTCAGCAATGTATTTCAGTCAGTCTGCCTGTTCTGCTCACCACCCTGTCCATGGTGAATCCTCTCTCTCTCTCTCTCTCTCTCTCTCTCTCTCTCTCTCTCTCACACACACACACACACACACACACACACACACACACACACACTTCTGGCCTGTATCCCAACCCAGTCTTGTATGCATAAATAAATATATCATTAAAAATTAATAATAAAAAATCCCAAATGCCAGTAGTGACCAGTGAACAGTAACTGTAAGTTTCAAAGATAATTTTTTATGGATTGTCACTGAATGATTTTTAAATTATAGACTTCATACCTTATAATACTAGTCCTACTTTTCTTCTTAAGAAACATGTGCTCAGTGAACTGGGAAGGTTCTAGTACCTGTTAGTGCTAGTCCAGCATGAGGGATAGAGATTTTTATTTAAAAACAACTCAAGGGCCTCCCTGATTGCACAAGAAGTTAAGTATCAGCACTATGAAGCAATCCCTACCACTGTAACATGAGTTCCATCCCCTGCCTGGGAGCTGTCCCCCATGGCGCAGCAGACCTCTCCTGTGTCTCACCTGCTGCTCCCCTCAGCAGTGTATTTCAGTCAGTCTGCCTATTCTGCTCCCCACTCTGTCTGGTGAATCCTCTCACCCCTTGTACCTCTGGCCTACACCTCAGCTCTTCTATGCATAAATAAATCTTAAAAAAAATAAAAATAACTCAAACATTTCTGAAATTTTAAACAATTCTTACAAACCAAATTGCAAATAACAATATATTTTAAATAAAACATATAACTACTGTGCTAACTATTAATTATTTGTAGGGCATATTTTTTAATAAATATGATATTGAAAACTGAAAAATGAATATATGTATATCTGTCTACATAGATAAATTTCAAAATTTACTACACAATTTATATTCAGTCCTCACCTTCAGTGTTTGTCATTTTGTCTTCATGAAAAATCTCAACAGCTTCCATTGGAGCACCAAATAGAACCAAAGCTTGTGATGTGGCACTATCTTTTAAAAAGAAAACAAATGTTTCAGTGAGCAGTTAATGATAAGTTTTTAAAACAAGAAAAAACATGTGCAAAGTGATATAAAAGGCTTGCCCTTGGAAAAGCAACAATAATACAAAAAGCAGCTATAATACAAATATTAACCAAACCCACAACAGAATACCTTTACATGTTTTCTCTGTGTTCTTCAGTTGGCTTAACTTTAACAAAATGATATTCAAAATAGCATGCACGTATTACAAGTGAAACAGAGAAACCATCCAGAGCTGTGTCACCAAAATAGCAAAGCAGAAGAATCTAGCTTCAGTCCCCCAACAAATATCAACAATTATCCACACACAGAATAGTTTTGAAAGGGTTCAAGAGTAGTCAGTCCACTTTAGAAACTTCAGCAACAGAGTAAAAAAAAAAAAAAAAAAACTGGGAATAACTACACAAAATCAGAAGGAAGACAGATTCATTTTTGCTTGCATCATCCCTCCCCCCAAGCTAACTCCACTCAATGCCAGAAGGAATCTTATAACTCAAAAAAGTTCCCCTTACTGAAAAAGGAAGAATAGAGCAAATAATCAGCTCTGCACCCTGTGAGGGCATGGCATAATATACTTGCTTCAGTTCCATCCTATCCACAGACGGCTAAGGTAGACATGTCTAGAGATGACTTGGAACAATAAAGGATGACAAAGGAATGGATGAGAAAACAAGACTGAAATATATGCGACTATGAAAGATTCATTAGTTTAAGGATATATGTGGATTCAAAGTGAAGGGATGGAAAGTAATATTCTCATAAAACAAAAACCAAACACAATAATAGATAACTGTACTTATAGCTGATAAAACAATACCATTTATAATAGCACAAAAAGAATAAAATACTTAGGAATAAATTTAACCACGGAGGTGAAAGAGCTATATACCTAAAAGGAAAAAAAAATACTGATGTACAAAATTAAAGAATACAATTAATGGAAAGATGTTCCAAGTACACAGAAGAGTATATATTATTAAAATATCCATTAAATTCAGTTGCTGTCAAAATCCCAAGGCATTTCTCACAGAAATAGAAAAAAAATCCAAAAATTTGTGTGGAATCCAAAAGATTTAAAATAGCCAAACCAATGTTGAGAAACGAAATGAAAGCTAGAGGCATCACATTTCCTACTTTCAAAATGTAATGGAAATATTCTAAAATAAAAACCAAAATAGTGGGCCTCCCCGGTGGCGCAGCGGTTGAGCGCTGGGTTGCGAAGCTGCCCGAGGCCTCTGCGGCGCCGGTTCGATCCCCGGCTGCTCCCCGGCCACCGGAGGAGGGTCCCACATGGCGTGCAGACCTCTCCTGCCGCCCGCTGCGCCCCTCAGCAGTGTACTTCAGTCCTTCTGCCTGATCTGCTCCCCGCTCTGGCTCTGGTGAATTCTCTCACCCTCCCGCGCTTCTGACTGTACCCAGTGCATGTATAAACAAAACAAACAAACAAACCAGCAAACAAATAAATAAAGCATGCCTCTACAAAAACAAAAAAAAAAATAAATAAATAAAAATAAAAACCAAAATAGTATGATATATATAGCATTAAAAACACATAGGAAAAATGATCATAATAGAGTCCAGAAATAAACCCATGCATATATGGATAACCAATATTTGACAAGGAATCAAAAATATTCAATAGGGAAATGAGAGTCTCTTCAATAAATGAGGCTGGGAAAACTGGAAAGTCACAAACAAAAGAATGAAACTAGACTGGGAAATTATACCACCTACAAAAATTCACTCAAAGTGGATTAAAGACTTAGAGATAAGACATGAAACCATAAAACCCCTATAACAAAATGTAGGGAAAAACTCTTGACACTGATCTTGGCAAGGATCTTTTGTATATTATACCAAATGCACAAGCAACAGAAGACAAATTAACAAATGGGCATATATCAAGCTAAAAAGCTTCCACACAGCAAAAGAAATCATCGGTATAGTTAAAAAAAAAAAAGGCTACCTAATGAACGAGAGAATATATTTGGAGACATCTATCTGATGAGGGATTAATATCCAAAATATACACGGTACTCACACAACTCAAGTGTTGGCATAATGATTATCAGTTAAGATTCTACCTATTCGGCATTATACCATTATTAAGCATGCCATCTTATTTAGTGGATATTTTATATTTAATGGATATTTATCCAATTTAATGGATATTTTAAATATCTATGTAAAATAAACCATCACTATAGTAATATTTAGTTCATCAAGAAAAATACTTGATGTGAATATCTAGTTTTCCCAGCACCGAAGTCAAATCTACAGGAATTAAACAGATCTGTGTTTATAACTGACAACACAGTCCTTTTTAATCTTACAGAAATGGTTAAAGGACTACTGTAACCAATATTATGTCAGCAAATTAGACAACCTACATAAATGGAAAAATTCCTAAAAAGTCACAATCAAAATTGACTAAAGAAAGGCTAGAAAATTTGAATAGAATTATAACAAAAAATTGAATTAGTAGTAAAAAAAAAAAAATCCTCCTACAAAGAAAAGCCCTGAGATCAAAAGGTTGCACTGGTGAATATCTCAAAAAATTTAAAGAATAAACACTGGCCCTTCATAACTTGTGCCAAAATATAGAAGGGAGGGCAACTCATTCTATGAGCCATAGATATCATAAAAAATTGAATTACACGCAAAGTATTCCTTATGAACATGGATAGTCATCCAAATGTCTATGTTTATAGTATAGTAAGAATTTTTGTGTAACCACATTAGTTTCATGATAACTGACACACCATAAGGAAAGCATTTTTGATGCTAAGAAAAGTAGTATTATGTTGAATAGCATCTGGTAAAAGTTATAAATAAGACTTCACACTGTGTTCTTGCAATGTTAATAACAGAGTTAATCATAAAACTTTTCAAAGGTTGGTACATAATTAGGTCCAGTGCATAATCTAGCAAAGACTGTTTTGAGCCTACAAATTTAAAATCTGCCAAGACATACTTGTAAACATAGGTCTGATTAATTCTTATAGATTGAACATAGATATTTCAGTATTTTGCTTGATGAACTAAACGTTCCTATAGTGATTGCTTATTTTACATAGAAGATGCATGCTTAATAATGGTATGATACCAAAGAGGTAGAACTTTAACTGATAATCATTATGCCAACATTATAAATATTGGTTCTAATACCTACACTTATTTACCAAGTACATTTCTAAAACAATTTATTAACCATATTATTTTTTCAAAGAGCTAGTTTATTAGACATATGTCCACTTGACATGAAATTATAGAACTAATCTATATCACAGAACACTTACATTCCACTAAGTGATACGTGGTATTATCTGATTGTGTCTATAATCTCCATTGATAGACTAAAGGCAAGTGGCCTATCATGTTTAGTATGATTTATTTTCTCTTGTGAACCAGACATTAGAGGTTTTGCTTGCAAACCTGTGCAGAATGATCACTTTTTGTTCCAGTGCAAAAAAAGAAAAAAAAAACTTTGTCAAATAATTCAAGGGGAAATTCACCAGCTCAGTTCTCCAGTGCCTGGAGCAAACTATTAGTTTTAATTAACATTATAACCAATCCCAAAACTTTTGATAGTTTTTTACAAGCATTTATACAATGAAATATACATAATATCATTGTTTGTTTTACCTCTCTCCAAATTAGGTCTTTGGGAAAATTATTTTACCTGAATAATCTAGTCCATTTTTCTAATCTGAGATTGAAGTCAGTCTCCAGAACTTAAATACTTTATGCCTAAATCTCACTATGCAAACTCAATGAAATATACATTTTTTTTCAATTAACATTAGTAGAGTAAATAAAGAGCTAAACACCAAAGTAATTCTTTGTTGTATTCTAAAAGTATTCTAAAATATTCCAAAATAGTATTCTGAAAGCAAATGTGCCAATAAGTACTAAAATTCTACCAAAGATTAATAATCCTATACAGTCCATTGTGCAAGATTCTTCTCAAACCTGTTTAGAATTACTAAATGACTGTTATCTTTTATGACCCCAAGTAAAATTGAGTAGATTCAAAAGCCTCAGTAAAATAGGAAGATGATAATGATGGTGATGATAATAATGGCCTCAAAAATTTCCTCTTCCCGGTGTTTACCTTCCTTTGCAAAGAGACTTTGCAGCATCTGTCATCAGAAGGTGGAGTCTAATCCCTTGTTCCTCGACTCTAGACTAATCCAGTGCCTTACTTTGGTAGATAAAATGTAGTTGAAATAATTAAGTGTTCCAGTTTTGAGCATTGGTCTCAAGAAGTCTTAGAAGTTTACATTGCTTTTCAAGCAAAAAGTTCAAGGCTCCTGGAGCCAAAATGCTGCAGAGTTGAGTCAGTTTAGTTTTCCCAGGTAAGCCTCCAGGCCTATGATAGAACCCAGTGCAAGTGAACAAGATCAGTAATGAAGTGCACAGTTGACCTATGATATTGAAGCAGCTGCATAAATGAAACCTCTCAAGCCCACCTGAGATCAGAAGAGCCATCACAGGATTCATGCATGAATTGAGCTAAAATGAATACCTATGGTGCTTATATGCATCTGCTTTTTTTGTGCATACTTGTTATACAACATTACTACAGTAACAGATAACAGATAAAAAGGCAATATTGTTCTAAAGTATTTAAGGCAAAATTCTGTGGCAAAGATTGCCAAATTTTTTCTATAAAGAACCAGATAGTAAAATTGTGAACTGCACACAGTCTCTGTTGCTTATTCCTCTTTGTCTTATTTGTTTTCTTTCTTTCTATAACCCTTTATAAATGTTAAAATCATTCTTGGTTTGGGGGCAGTACAAAAAATGTGTTGCCCAGATCTGGCCCATAACTGTAATTTGCTGACTTCTGTTCTATATCTTGTAAAGACATGTTACAGAATTAAAGATATAAGGGCTTAGGATGAAAAGTGCAATATTATCTAATAATGCTTTTTAACTAGAACTCTCTGAGAACTTTTTAATTTTAAATTGGCATGTTTATCTGCAATGATGTGCTGGTAAAATCTTAATAACCAGTTCTCAGGTGATAGTAAATACAGCCACCAATGCACTTGAGAAGAGAAGAATACAATTGACTCACATGAGCTAGTAAAAACAGACTCCAGTACTCCATGGATTCACCATTTACCTAACATACTGCCTGTATCATAGCACAAAAGTGATTGTTAAAGAAATTGACTATAATTCAGACAGTGGATTTTCCTTAAGCAGACTTACTCCTTTGTTTATCTCAACTTCCTGTTCCCACTAACTTTGGTTTTTGTAACCCCTGATCCTAGAAAACACCGCTGTCTTTGCAAATGCTTTCCTCTATTGAATTGTATTTGTCTATAACCTAGTTTCAAACAAAATTACTTAAAGATAAACTTACCTTTTTTGGTTTTAGGATGATCATCTCCATTGGAACAAGAGGGCATTGTTTTGTTTTCAGGCATGGTTATTAATAATATTTTGAAACCTAAGAAGGAAAAAAATAATAAATGTCATGAATCAAGGTTAGCTTATATTTAAATTTATTGAAATTATCAACTTATGAATTGACAATGTCAAGATAAGTTTCTAATATTATAAAATATATTACAGATATGTAAAAATCAATACTAACATATGTATAAAATGTAAGAGAATCCAACAATGTCTTTTTCCTGTAAAGTCTATGATCCTTCATAGAAACAACATATATAAATTACTTATTAAAGAAACATCTTCACCTGCTTTGTTGTTAACTTAAATTCCTGTACTGTTAGCTAATTTAGCATTCATTCATCATTCCATCTGTGGGCAGAAAACCCTGTGGTAATTCTGGAACCTACAATGTTTATTTCATATGATAGGGCAATCCCTTTCAGTTGTTTTCAAGTATTTTCCTTTGTAACTCAATCTAACATAAGGATTGAGATATATTTTTCTTTGTGTCTAGTAAACTATCACTACAGCATATATATGGGGAAACATATGTGGGGCTTTTTTTTTAGTACTCCCCAATTCTGGATTTGTTATTGATAAACATCACAAAAATCTCTCAGTTTATTCCAGAGATTTTATTTGAAAAAAAAATCTTTAATGGAAATAAGCATATAAATCAATTTGAGTCACTAATTACACAAACAATATCAAAAGTAAATAGGCAATTTAGAAAATTCATCACCAATGCCCATAAATCAATGATTACTATCAATGATTACTCTTTTCACTTCAAAAAAAAAGTAATTATCCTTAGTTACAGATTTTAATTTTGTAAGATGCTATTTCTTTTTATTCAAGTTATTTTAAAGGCTTTGATAAGGTTATGAGAGGTTATAAGGTTATAAGGAAAAATAGTATTTTCCTGTTCTTTATATACTCATGAAAATATTAAGCAATTTAGTTCTGTCTTAAATACCTTAGTAGCAATGATTCTTTCACACATTCTTTCTTATAAATAATGCAAATATACTTATGGTCTTCCAGAAATTATGAAAGTCATAATTATTAATTTACTCTTACTGGCTTTAGCTATAGTACAACTGATTTATTCTAATCTAAATATGCCCAAGAATAGTTAAAGTCTACATTTTTTTCTAAAAGATGTGCTGCTTCCACATTATGTTACTTTATTTTCACTTAGGCTTCTATTTAATATAATGTCTCCTTTTACTTCTCACCACAAATTTACTAACTCCTTCTCCCTCTATTTTCTTATCTCTTATCTCTCTTCTATTTTCTTATCTCTTCAGACACTTAGTCTACTAAATTGTCTACTAAATAATTATGCACATTTATGTTTATCCCACCGAATTATGAGATCTGAGAAGACAAGGATTTTGTCTTATGATCAAATGTCAACAGGATGAAGACTCAGAAAACTCTTCAGTAGTAATAAGGTGATGATTGTGAACAGTGGGGAATTTCTGAATGAAATGTGATCTTGAAAATCACAAATGAAATAATTAGTATTTGCGCATATTTATTAAAAAAACTTAGTCATTTTTCCATAGAGGAAAGTAGTTTAGCTTTGCCTTAAACACAGGAAGGATTCATACTTATTCATACTTATCCTTAGTTAGGATACCAATTAGGATTCTGGAAAAACATTACACTTCAATTTTCAACATGTAATCATTCTGGTCCATTCTGGGTTTGTTTGTTTGTTTTTTCTGATTTTTTTTAAGATTTATTTATTTATGCATACAAGAGCTGGGATACAAGCCAGAGATGCAGCAGGTGAGAAGATTTACCAGAGAAAGAGAGGGGACAGAACAGGCAGACTGACTGAAATACACTGCTGAGGGAAGCAACGGGCGAGACAGGAGAGGTCTGCCTCGCCATGTAGGTTGCTCCCTGGCCGGCCGGGGATCAAACTCGTGCTGCTGCAGATTGCCTCGTAATGTGGTGCTTAACCCCTTGCGCCACCAGGGAAACCCCATTCTGGTCCATTCTTGACAACCATTTTCAAAGTTATTTCAAGTAACAATAAAGAAAAATGTCAGTCAAATAAAGAACAAACATGAAAAGTGGACAGTGAGACTGTGCATTTATCAAATACTAATTTTCATTTTATTTTATTTTAAATTTTAATTATTTTCTTTAAGATTTTATTTATTTATTTTTGTGTAGAAGAACTGGGGTGTAGGCCAGAGTTGTGGGAAGTGAGAGGATTCACTAGAGACAGAGTGGGGAGTAGAACAGGCAGCTCTACTGAAATACACTGCTGAGGGGAGCAGGGGGCAAGACAGAAGAGATCTTCTGTGCCATGTGGGTTAGCTCCCTGTCTGGGGATCAAACTCAGGTCATAGTGGTGGTAGCACTGAGACTAAACCCCAGGGTCACCAGGAGGCCCAATTAAATTTTAATTATTTTATTGAGGTAACATAGGTTTATAATACTGCATATGTTTTAAAGATACAGGTTCATACCTCTTCAAACATACATTATCACACTATACCCATCAAAGTAGCAATCACACTGATCCACAGTCCACTGGGCAGCCTCTGCCACTGACTGTCCAACCCCTATCTTCCTCCCCTGGTAGTCTCAGTTCTGCAGTCAGATATCTAGGGTTTGTTTTGGTTTAGTTTTGTCTGTTCCTTTGTTTCTTTATAGCTCACATGTATGTGAAATAATGCAGTGCTTGATTGACTTTCACTTCAATTTCCAAAACTTTCAACATTCTGTTTTAGAAAATTCATAATATTACAATAGTAATGGAACACAACAGACCTTGCCTTGAGTATTGCTTTCACAAAGAGCATCTTTTTTCTAATCCTTTTATTTCTTTTTTTTTTTTTTTTTTTTTTTTTAAATATTAAATTTTATTTTTATATTCCCCCATACAATTGCAAATGCCCCATTCTGACCCCAATCCTTCCCCTCCCGCCCCCCACCCCCAAAAAGTGTCTCTGGTTCATAGTTTTTTTGTTGATTTTGATTTTCACTTTCTTATAGTTATTCATTTTCCTGGTCCCTTATTTAAGTTTTCTAGATTCCTGCTATGAGTGAGACCATCCGGTATTTTTCTTTTTCTTTTTGGCTTATTTCGCTGAGCATGATCCCTTCCAGTGCCATCCATGTTGCTGCAAATTGCATGTGTTTATCTTTTTTGAATGCTGAGTAATATTCCATGGTATATATGTACCACATCTTCTTGATCCAGTCATCTATTTTTGGGCATTATTTCTTTTTTTTTAAAGATTGATTGATTGATTGATTGGTTTATACAAGCACTGGGTATAGTCAGAAGTGCGGGAGCTCTGGCTCTCACCAGAGCCAGAGCGGGGAACAGAACAGGCAGACTGAGGAAGTAACACTGCTGAGGGGAACATCGGGCGGCAGGAGAGGGCTGCACGCCATGTGGGACCCTCGCCCAGCGGCCAGGGATCGAACCGGTGCTGCAGAGGCTGCGGGCAGCTTCACAACCCAGTGCTCAACCACTGCGCCACCAGGGAGGCCTTAATCCTTTTATTTCTTATTATACAATAATAGATTATTTTGTAACAATGCTGAGGTATTACAAATTCATAAAGAAAATTGCAAAAAGACAAGGTGTTTTTCTACATCTTTCCTATGGGTACCTAAAATAATCTCTTTTAGAGACCTTTAAACTCTATTCCTCTGATTCCTGATCTCATCTCTCTTTATTTTATGAAGTTTTATTGACTTTATATTATGTCTGTATTACATTCAAAAGATTAGAGTAAAGATGCATTAAATATTACATCTCATGGTTTTACTAAAGCTAAGCACATCTTCAGAAAGATTAAATGTCACTTTTCTCATACAAATCAAATTAGATCTGAAAAAGCCAGTTTCTACACATATATTCATAAAGATATCTCATACTATATTCAGAATTTGTCTGAATAAAGAGATGAGCCATTCACCTTCTGGTAATTACTTGAGACATAAAAATGGTAAGCTATTCAATCAGTGCTCATAATGTTAAACTACTTCATAGGTCAATATCATACATTAAATTATTATTTCACCTCTGAGTCATATCAAGTGATTTTATAGTGAATATACTGAGAAATATTTACATTTGTTGAAAAAATATGAAGTACTTAAATTCTTCAGATTCCATAACTATTCCATGTCTAAAATGTAAAGCAACAAATTCCTATGAATTTGAAGTTTCAAAATTCCTATCAAAAAAATATTTTTACTATGAGATAGTTTTTGCTCCTGAGGAAATGTGCCTTTTGAATTTACTATTTTTAAAATGTCGGTAACTATTTATCGAACATTTCCACCTATTACTGATAGATACTGGGGAATGTAAGAAAATTATGAGACTAGGGCCTCTCCGGTGGCACAGGCGGTTGAGCACTGCACTGTGAAGCTGTCCGCAGCCTCTGCAGCGCAGGTTCGATCCCGGCCAGCCGGTGAGAATCCCACATGGCGTGGCAGACCTCTCCTGTCTGGCCTACTGCTCCCCTCAGCAGTGTATTTCATCAGTCTGCCTGTTTTGTTCCCCACTCTGTCTCTGTTCAAGCGCATCTGGCCTTTACCCCGTTCTTGTATAAATTAATAAAAATAAATCTTTAAAAAAAGAAAGAAAAATTATGAGATTATCCCTGCCTTCGGAAAGTGTCACTTTATTTAGAGATATGAGTAACTCATGAAATAGCTGGAGGAGTCTTGACACGAGAAAAACAGAATTGATAGATTACACTTAAAATGTGCCATATATATTTTGCATCTACTCCTAACAACTACCTATAAAGTGTAGGTATCATTGCTATTTTACAAGAAACTCTGAAGCACTAAGTGGTTAACCTCTTGCCAGTATTTTCCAACTGAGCAATGCAAGCTGGATTTCTCCCTTGAGTCTGTACTACAGCTCTTCAGATAGATACCTACAAAGACTTATCTGCTAAGAAGTGCACACTTTATTTTTCAAAGGTGAAAAATGCCAGAACAGCTGAACAGCTTTACTTGAATAAAAATCATTTCAGAAACTAAGCCTAAACTGATTGGGGT